GTACTGGCAAACGGGAAATATGTGTTCGGAGTGTTTCTCTGGTCCCTTTGCTCAAATTCAGAGTCTGCGCATTATTTACAATCCCTAGGCGTTCTTCATACTTGGCTTTGTATTCTGTCCATCAGACATCTCTTCAAACATAACATGAAGTCTCAAGCAGTGTCCCTGACAATCTGCTTGCAAGTAAGGTTACGAAGCACTCAACCTCAGGCATAAATCACGGTTCAGTGATCATACTGATAGAAATTATCCTCCTGCGATAATGAATTAATTGGCTGGCGGGGCAGGAAACGAAATTGAAAAATTGAACATTTTCAGTTGAATAACACAAGTTATTGAGAAGCAAGAATAGCAACAATTGACTACAAAGGGTACTGAAGGATGTAAGGGATGGTCAGTTAAATAGGCACCTGGTTTGAGTGGTGTCTAGTTAAATATCTTCTGGAGATCCGAGGACATCATCCACTGATTTAAACCCATCTAGGTAACCAACCAGTTAAAAAGGTTCGCCAACCTCGCCCACCCCACCCACGAGAGGCTGCTTGTCTGTCCAGCAAATTCACAATTCGAAATTCGAAATTGGGAATGTACTACAATTTGTAAGATCCAGGTAACTACTGTACTGGATGGGTATCGACTACATGCAATGCTTAATTTAACCCCTGATTTTGAATGAGGGTACAAACATTAATAACATCAATAATGAGATCAAAAAGAATCATATCGGTGGACACAAATAAACAGATGCTGTTTGCTGAATAAAAATGGGTGCGCATTCAAGTAGTATAATTGATAAAGATTTATGGTTCGTCTCAACATCAGGCCAGTTTATTTGATTAAGAAACGGAATAGTTGTATGCATCGAAGCAGAGATACACACCCAACAAAAGCTTGATATCATACATGTAAATGTACAAGATAAACGTCACTTTGGTCGTAAAACAGATTCAATTGCACTGAATTCGAGTCAAAATATACGGCATGTATCATTCCTCTTATACTGCTCGGTCAGTAGTAGAAGTAATAATGCTACTTGTTTTCCTACACAATGCCTGCTTCGATGAAACCACAAAATAGACCTACAAAGAGTAAGCGGGTTTATGACTCTGGAATCTTTCCTTTCGCCTTCGTATCACGTCAATTACCTGGCGGCATATCAGTGGGGATAAACTGACGTAGTCAACTTGGTCAATCTAAACCGGGTCAACATGTCAAGATTTCGGTTTCTGACCTCACTGCGTAAGTTATGAGATCGCCATAACAGAGTAAGCTATGACACCTGCAGAGAGCCACATGGAAAGAATAAAGAATCCATGGATGTCAAACTCACATATACTAATAGGAGAAGCCGCTTATGTATTCATGACCTAAAAGGTGAAAACCACTCCTGTAAACTAGGTTTTGTCTCGTTGGGGCACTGTAATATGTATCCCATTTCGCGGCATAAAAGGCGAAAACACCCATGAATGGTGCACTCCAATAACACGAAGATATGGAAGGGGAATCGTCATTCGAAATCGCTTGTGTTGAATTTGTGGCCCGTGAAGCACAATAGAGTGGAGCATTCAGTATTTACCACGAACCCTCTTAAACAGAGGTCTTGCTAGGATTCACTGGATTCTCGCTTGGGATTCTCTTCTGGAGCGGAAAACAAGGTGATTCACGCAAGGGGAGGTATAAGAGTTAGCCATACCGAAATAGATTGTTCCTCTCCTAGGATTTTGAGAGATGTGACTTTCATTTATTGCAACTGGATTAGCTGAGTTACCAGGTAGTGGCCGCATCTCAAATGCTGCAGGAATGGCTAACGAATAACAACAATTTACTGTAGCATTTGAAGAGATCCTTTAGTCGCGTGCTGAATACGGAGGTTTCAGGAGTAATGCTTTAGCCACTTGAGAACCCTGGTGTTCGGGCTCGGGAGTTCGTTCTTGAGCTGAGCAAACAGAGTCCGGATAGTCGCGGCAAAATTACCGGATGTTAAGACAAGGATGCCTGGGGAGAATTTCAAGCGTGAAGGTTGCGTGGCCAGTGCATTCAGGTAGCATGGAAAGGCTAACATAGCATGAACATTAGGTGATATTGGCATCTTATAGACAGGGGGGAGAGGCCCCAAAGCTCTGAGAACAAATCAAGACTCAAGGGGAATGTATAGAACATGTACCTGTAATAATCATGCCCATGTATGTTAGAGTCTCTGACGCCCTTATCCGGTGACACTTTGAATCTGAAACTTTGACAGAGAGATGCCTGTAGTCACGACTTAAGGAAGGCCAACAACCCACAGCAAAAACCGCAATCTCCGCCAAACTACACTGAGAAAGCCCTTGCACAATTGAGAGAAAATCCAAATCTCAGTGAGGAACCACAGCGAACTTTGTAGTCTATGGCACTCCACAGCTTATATCCAACGAAAAGAAAACTGAAAACAATACGGCCAGCGTCTCCTCAGAGATCCCTGCTTCGAAGAATAATATCAGCCCTTGCAATGCGGGTGTAAGAAGGCTAGGGATGAAAGAACTCGTAACGCAGAGTGATGAAACGTATAGGCGTTTTTCGCGTTGCATCATGCGGAACAAGAATGAGGGAAGACGGAAACGGGGGAGGGAGAGGAAAACGGATAGAGTCTGGGGGGACGGGGTATTACCCGGGAGATACATTGTTGCAACGTGAAGAACACGTTTATTTCCATGACTGAGGAGAGGATTGACGGCCAAAACAGTCCAGATAAAAATTAACTGCTAGCGTTTGCAAACTCGACATTGCCCTATTACCACGATAAATCTTTCGTGGGGGCTATATTCACATCGCGCCTCGCCGGTGTCATCGGTTGAGATACGGAAAAAGTGGTTTCCTGGATCCCGACAGAAGCTGTAGATATAAAAGTTTTTGAAATAGTTGCACATTCCAACGGTTTATATAAGGATGATGAAGACTTTCACATGGGTAATCGAGATTGGAGACGGAGTGTCAGCGTGATTTCAGCAAACTGTAAGCTTTCTGGAAAAGTATCTGCTCAAAGAACATTGCCGTACATGAGATTTTGGGGAGAAAGTGATGGCCTGGCCGTAAAATAGCTGGGTGCAGGATATCCTCCAGAAGTGAGCATTCAAAGGGACAGCCTTCCCCTTTTGTAGTCTCCTATAAGAACTTAGTATAAAAAAGATACACTTGGCTAACCTTCAGGGTGGCCCCCAGATTTCCTATTGGCAGTAAATGACGAAACAATCGTCAAGGATTGGCCAAGATAAACTTGATAAATAAAAATAGAGTAGATACCATGCTAAGCAAGGCTATCTGAAGTTTCTAGAAAAAGAAAAATATCATGACCGGGTCGATCAAGGGGCGGGGTTGGCGGCTGATCGATAACGACCGATAAATGACTCGCGATCCCGGAATGTCATGAGCGCCACGCGAAAAAGGAAAAAAAAAACCCCGTTTATTTGTACATTACACAGAAAGAAACGGCAACTAGGAGAATCGCGGACCGGAAGCATAACTTAGTAGGTTCCAGGCATCAAACAAAGCTCCTCAACAGAGATGACCTGTTCTGCGTTCTCTCAACCGTCAAGGGCGTGGAGACTCTCGGAGGCTTCGAGGAAATAAACTTTACATGAAAAACATCTAGACGCGTATTCAAAACATGCAAGCTTGCGCAAAGCCTTGGTGATGGTCCCGCACTGCAACAGTATTGCAAATCGAAGGTGCGATAGTTTGAAGAATTTGAGATGTCCGTTTAGCAGGGCAGCAACATGGGAAGATAGCCGAAGCGGTCATGTCACTATTTTGACATAGAGTAAACATTAGATTATTATGCAAACAACAAATTTTTACGCGTCAGTACACAGACCTCTCTCCACCTTCGCTTAGAATGGTCAATACGTACTATGATTGGATGGAAGACCCCATGATGCTTGATTAGCGGTTGACTCCAGAAGAATGAAGAATGCAAATTGGGCGCTTCATGCTAGGTAGGTCTGAGCGCAGAGAAGGAATCCGACCACCCCTTCAATTCGACCTCATCACCAATAACAATGATATGATTGATCAAGGAGCTCAAAATTAACTAACAAACAAGTCTGGGTCCTCAAAATATCACCAATTATATACAAACTAGGATCAACTGTCGTCAGAGCCGAAACAAAATCCGGTGCTAGCTGGTTCAATTTATTCTAATTTGAAACGCCACGGTTTGTGGGGAGAATCGTTCAAAGTTTTGCGCATGATATTTTTAGCAGTAATCGACTTGCTAGGAGAGCCTGCAGCGTCACAGATGTTCCCCATTTCTTGGAAGTCCTTGGGAAATGAGCTCGCATTGACATCCCACGCCTGGCATGACCATGCTGACAATTGAGAGACCAACCAGCACAACTCCCATACTCGAAGAAAATGGGCAACCGTCGGGGGCATCAGCAACTTTACTAGAATTGATGCTGAGACGGGTTAACTCCTCTGATCTTCTGGAAGGAAATCTTTGGGTGGTTCAATGCTGATGACGATCAAAAAATAAGATGGGCTGGCTCTCTTTTGCCCCCAAGGAACCTACATGGTTTTACTGTCGGAGTTTTGTTTTTCCGGAAAAGGGGTCAGGTTAGACTACAGCAACGCTAGTTCTCATCTGGAATAGCGCGAACCCTGATGGGTTACATGGACAAACCTCGCTAACCCTATCCCGTTAGCCACAAACATTTGTCAGCGGTCTCACTATCCGCCCAAAATAGCAATGTTTAACGTCAAACCAGCCCCCCAACCTATACCACAATTCTCCATCCCGACGCTCGTTAACCAACGTTGTTCCCGTTTTCGCCAGGGCAGATCCGACGCAGGTCCGTAATCCCAGGCGCAATGATCTTTTGAATCTGACTGTCGCTACTGTACACATTCTTCTTCCTATTTATCGTGTTATCTTCAAGCTTGTCGCTCTCTACCCCGGATATATACCCCACACCAAATTCGTTCCGCGACGTGTGACCCATCGAACCCAGCGCTCTCGATGCACAATGGGCTTCGGTGATCTTGAATTCATTTGCCGCAAGGCAGCCCTCCCGCTATGCTCTGTGGTCGGCCCCCCTTCGACAGTGACAAGCGGCTCCCGCGGCATTCTGGCCAACTGTTACGCGAGGAATATCGAGGTTGCGAACACCATCATTTTTCAAGGGGCTGCAGATGTCGCGCATATCGCTGCATTGGCAATGACGGTGATTATGGTAATTCATGTGCGGTCGAAATTTACTGCTGTCGGTATGTATTGAAACCGCCCAAGAAGGGAGGAAATTGGATACGATAACGACAGAGTGATAACACGAGGTTGGTTGTGTTTCTAGGTCGAAAGGAGATCACGACATTCTTTTACATATATATGGCATTAACAATGTGCTCTCTGGTCCTTGATTCCGGTGTCATTCCTCCTGGAAATACCGTCTTCCCGTACTTTGCAGCCCTCCAGAATGGTTTTTCGTCGGCCCTCTGTACATGTTTACTTGTCAATGGTTTTGTGGGATTTCAAATCTACGAAGATGGAACGACACTCTCTGTTTGGCTGCTTCGACTATCATCCCTTGGGATGTTTGGCATCTCCTTCATTATCTCACTTTTAACTTTCATGGGATGGGCAGGTCTCTCACCGTCGAATACGGTTGGGCTGTTTGTGATCCTCTACATTGTGAATGCAATCTGCCTCATCGTATATGTAGTGATGCAGATTATCCTCGTCGTCAATACTTTGCAGGATCGCTGGCCACTGGGTCAAATTGCCTCTGGCGTGTTCTTCTTCATTATCGGCCAGGTGATACTGTACGTGTTCAGCGAAACCATCTGTGAACAAGTCCAACATTATCTCGATGGCGTATTCTTTGCAACCCTTTGCAACTTACTAGCAGTTATGATGGTATACAAGGTGCGCTACTTTGCCCTTTTTCTCCCCCCCTTTTTTTTTTGCTTTATCGCCACGGAACCTGTTTCTAACTTTAGTGTAGTATTGGGACTCCATCACCAAAGAGGATCTTGAATTTTCAGTTGGCGTCAAACAGAACAACTGGGAAGTTAAGGAGCTTTTGCCCGAAGACGAGAGAAGAGCCACAGTTTACCACGACACCAACTCTGATTATGCAAGCAGCATGTACCACCAGCGAAATTCCACTTATGGCACCGGCCACACCAGTTATTAAACTCCCCCACCTGATGACAAGCATTTGTTTTAACATATATTCATATGTACACTTTTTTAACTCTGGTTCTCTTCTCTAGCGTTATATCTTTTATTGCTGTTTGCATTGTCATTCTGTTTTACATTCCAAATATTTTCTGATTCACATGACCTTGTAACGCTTGGAGTTCTTTTCACTTCTCTCTATTTTACCCCGGGATACAGTTGGCTGGCACCTTTATTTCTAAGTTTTGTTCCAAAACAAAAGTCCCTACCTCTCCACCTGCAGCCCTCAGTTTACTAAATTTTGTTTATATTCCTTTGTCGATTTATCAGCGACGCAGAATACCTCCAGTTTGTTTAACATTTTACTCTTACGACATATGCGTTTAATAACCTCCTATCTTCTCTTTTATGCTCTTCTGTATTGCCCCAGTTGCGCTTTGTATAAATTCAATAACATATTATTTGCTTCACGGCAATTCCAAGTCAGATTTAGGGCATCCATGTAAAAAACATACATAGATATTAGGGAATTCTTCAAAATCTCCAGGCTCAAAATCTTCTTTCAGCATCGTGTCATCCCCGTCTTCTCTGACATCGTTGACAAAGCATCATAAAACAGAATTCGACAGGCGAGGGGGATCTCAATCTTACATGGCATTGGGCATTTCATTTGTCATCACCGGTACCGGGCATCTTTACTGCCAATAGTCGTTGCCGAAGTCATTGTAAAAGTAGGGTACAAAACGAGCGAAGAAGCATAGCAGCATTTTCTGATAAGTGAAGGACAGAAATTAAAAAAATAAAAAAAAAACAGTTTTATTATTTCTTTCAGAAGCAAAGAACAGCTCAACTCCTTGTGGATTCAATAAAAATATACCTCAGTAGGGATAACGCAGAACTTCACCAGATAACCATTCTAATCCACAAGAACAACATCATCATCAGCATCCGTAAATCCCCGCCCTTTTTCACCGCCGGAATTTGATTCATCGCCACAGCTGGCTCGATCGGTACTACTACTACTACCACCACCACCACCACCACCACCGCTGGTACGACTAGCATTCAAGTACCAACCTCGATCGATCCATCGAACGAGCAGCTCGCTGGCCTGCTGCGCTAGGTCATAGAAAGACGGATTTTCCCTGGGAGAAAACATGCTCATGTGCGCCTTCGTTTCATCGGTTGCCTTATCATTTATGGCTTTGATCCATTGGATCCCACATGTCTCGCTGCAGGTGACCTTGTCATCATCGGCTTTATGGTCACTCTCGTCAACATCAGCCGGGATGTTGCAGAATGTCCGCAGTTTTGAGCGCAATATATACCGACTTAGGGGGAAGGTCGGAGAAGGCTTGTTGATGCCGCTGTTTGCTGGAACGGCCACTGCGCCCTGCCCCAAACACGTATAAAACTCTCCGCAACCGATTCCTCGCTCCTGCTGCAGCTTCTCGATCGACCAGATACGTCGCCGCAGCTCGTCAGGGCGCGTGAGGCACCCTACAAACTCTAGATGCGAGGTTGCCCAGCTCCAGCCTCCCAAAAATTTGTCGCGTTGGGAGTAGAGTGCAGCGGCTCCGCCGGCCGCAACAGCCCCTGCTGCTCCCGCGTACATAGCGTAGCGACCCCAGCGCTGCCAGGACGGTGTCGCGGCAGCATCATCTGTAGGAGATGTCATGCTAGAAGCATTCGTTGTAGGGGGGAGGTCTGGGAGAGAAGACTTGGTGTTTTCATTGGTTGTCGGGGAGCTTCCGGCCTTAGTCTCCCCTTTCTTCGCCCCTCCCCAACCAAACACACCAGCTACTTCTGAAATCGCCCCATAGGCAGCGGTGGCTGTTTTATAGTGATTTTCAGCGGTGTAGGAGACAACTCCCGGCGCGATGCCGAGAAACGGGGTATCAAATGCAAGTAAACCTTGGATGTGGGGAAACATGAAGGTGTTGGGTTCTACGGACTTGCCCTCAGTCGTCGTCGACGACGACGACGTCCTCGAGGATGAAAGATTTGATGGCGTGGGTAAAAGTTGCTCAGATGCTAGGAGGAGAAGGGTCTCCGCTCCAACAATCCCGCCCATCGAATGGCCAATCAAGATGACATGCACGGATGGATCGACGGTGGGCGAAGGGGCTTCATTGGCGACTTCTATATCGATAACAACATTTTGGAGCCTGAATACAAGCAAATGTCAGATAAGACCTTCCAGGCCCCTGTAGGGATATTGCAGGCCTCGGATCTCGTCCTTTTCGACGGAACACACCATTCTCGAAATTTCGCTACGCATTCAGTCAAGTCACCCTTCGTCTCGTACTTGGGGTATACAACCGACGTGGCCTCGACATCTGGAAGCGCATGGCTGACAAGAGTGCGCAAATGGGCAGGAAAGCTTCCAAACGTATCGTCACCGCCCTATCAGTTGTGCGGTTAATATCATCAGACTTTTCGAAATTCGCCGCAATGCGGGGGATTGTTATGTATGGTATGTGGGCACGAAACTGGGCCTCTGTTGGGTGGGAAAGTGGCGCACCTTGAAACCGTGGATAAACACCAAAAGAAGGGTCCTCTTCATGATACCGTGGAGCCCGTAACATATTCTTCATGATGGGAAGATCTCAAGCGAGGCAGGGCATTGCTGTCGAGAGGCAATTCCATGGAATCGTAGTTGGTTTTGTAGTTCGAGATTTTTTCCAATGTTGGCGTCATCGACATCAGCTGCTTCACCTTGCTCCACGCGAGGATTGGAGGCAGATCACGTGGTGCGGGCTCCTCGTAGGGCTGATATTCAGCAACCATCAAAGTCATCTGTCCCATGTACCATCAGTCATACAGAGTATTGTTGAATTTTAACACAAGTTATACAGAAAGCTCTCAAAAGTCAGTCACTAAATCGATAGAGCAATTGTTATCACTGTTGAATTTGAAAACGCCAGATAGCTGTCTAATTACCGAAGGGGGACGGCATCTAAATACAGGATCTTACTAGATCCAGCAGAGGCAAAGATCTAACATAACTGGGCAAACGTCTAACAAAATCAAATCTCTACGTTTATGCGTAGCTGTGCTCAAGTCTTGGAATATGAGGGCCTTATTAAACCGTCCTGAATCATCGTCGGATCCCCAGCTCTGACCCTGGAAGAGTCCGCGATTCTCGCCAGACCGGCTTGTTTGTGTTTCCAGGGAAAACCATTTTTGGCGAGATTCTTCACTGGGAGCATCCCAATCTATCATTCTCAACGCTGGACCATGTGTGTGTGAACAACGACTTAGACTCGCGATGTTGGTAAATGTGCCCGACCATATCGTGAGCCCAAGCAATGACAGATAGCGAAATGCGGTCACTCTGGTAGCACAGACATAGAGATTATCATATTCTCCCGCTTCAACAGCTTTTCGAATTTCTTCCAATGTGCCCGCATCTGCTTCGTCTTCTAGACCAGGTAGTCCTAGAAGCCGATAGAACTGCAACTGGCGATGTCGGTCCTTGTGGTTCTGAGCATCCACCGAATCATTATACTTGTCCATAACGACTTTTCTGGACTCAACGCCAGCAAAATGCATTTCTTCGGTTCTTCAGCATTCCATGATGGCCTGTCCAAGCCAGGTGCAAGTGGATTGTCCTCTATCCTTTTTTCTCCTCCAGGACGACCTTGTTCGTCGCTGCATGTCTCCAGGTTTGCTGATGCTGGAAATTGTGCTCTTGTTCTGCTCAAACAAGACAATAGGTTAAACCCTTTTGAACATGGCGCACGGTAAATATAAACGGGGGGGGGGGGGGTAATCATCGAAACCTGGGAGTGAACGAGCCTGCGATGTTCTGATGCTATGGTAAGTGCTTGGTCAACTTCTTTTCTATAGTTATGAGCAGGAACCAAGTATTCTGTCAGGTATTTAGGGCAAGCAGTATACGTAGAAGTTGGGAATTGATTTGTATTATACTTAGATGCTTCCCTTGCCTGGCTCCTGGCTCCTGGTCGAACAATGTCTCATTACCCACAATTGAGAACCTTGTGTTTCCAGGCAATTTAAAATATATCAAACGAGTTTTATGGTTTTACCTTACCAAGCAGCACAGCCTAGCCTCCAACAAAAAAGAACTATTTAACATCATATCAGGTGCAGGGAAAGAACTCCTCAAGCATGCACATAGATGTAAGACGAACCCCGTCCCGACTTGTCCTAGATGTAGCATCAACCAGACTGCATAAACATGCGCTTCCATGAACAGCTTTGAAAATTGTGTGGCGTCATCAGCGCCCGGAACCGTTCAAACTGAAAATTTCTCTCTATTGCCATTCCCATGATCATCATAACCTTTACCTGAAGCGCCCCCATGCCCACCCAAACTCTCGAGAGGCCATTCCATTTTTGACAAACGGACACGCCGGCGGCACTATGGGTGCAGTTCGAGGTTCCTCATTACTGATTCTGTCGCCGGCAGTCTGCGCAGGGCTGTTCGTGGGTGGGCTGGACATGTTTTAGAGGAACTCAGAACTCATTCTACTACGGCTGAAGCATGCAGATGAGGCATGTGAAATGTACGATGAAGATCTATCACTGATTAATTCAATCGCCCTCAAAATATAGGAGCAAACTCTCACAATGTTACAAGTACGTTAATCTTCGTTGCAGGATCAGAAGAAAAAGGTGAGGTCTTATGTGCAAAACCTGGGAAGAAGTTCCGAATAACGCACGCAGAATAGAGAATGCTGCTTTCATTCAACCGCGCATATCAGAAGCATATGCTGCTATGGCAGACTGCAAGAATTGCCGGACTCAAAGTTATTGTACTTTCCGGTGACAGCCAGATTTGTGGGAAAATTTGGAGATCTCCATAGTACCGAGGATTGGGCAAATTGCCACTGGTCCAGCGATTTGCCCACCTTTCTCCCTAGCTTCCCCAGTAAAATTTTTAAACAAGTTCATGGTTTCCTTCAATTAAAAGTCTCCTTCATGTTCAGATAACCGTAATTCGGCTTTGGTCCCCGATGCCAGCGAGTCAACTGGGCTGCAGACCCCCCTTCAAAGCACAGAGGACTGGCAAAACTAGGCCGTTCTCGGGAAACCTTAAAAAAGGGAGGTTGGATTTTCTGTCCGCACCAAGCAATCAGCGAGCGGGTGGGCTGCAGCTCTCTGCCCAGGCTCCAAACATCGGGGGGGGGGGGGGGGGGTTGTTCACGTGCGCCCCCTCCTTCTGCAACTCCGCAACGCTTGCTGCACATCATGGAACAGACACTTCTACTTGGTAGACATACTTTTGGCAGGATATTATTGCCTGGTTCTGCGATAAGATCGGAGAGGATGCAGTGCCGCTACTGGTGCTTTTCTCTATATCGCAGTATAAAATAATAAAATAATATATATAAAATAAATAAATATAAATATAAATATAAATATAAATATAAATATAAATATAAATATAAAATTCATATGTCTTCTTGCTTTGCTCCACCAGCCCGCTATGGGAAAGGAGCTGAAATCAAATAGAATGGCGATGGTTGATATCTGATTCCACCGCATGTAGCATGTAGCGCATTGCGATCCGACCTTGGGGGAATGGCCAATTTTAGATCCCGGGGTCCCCCCCCAATACCCTCAACCAATTTTAATCCACCTTTCCTTGTTCAAGGAAAGGGGGCCTTATGGGCCCACCCCCCCCCCCCCCCCCCCGAGGCGGAATGAGGCTATTTATTTGCCGACGTCAGTTAAATACCACCACAGGGAAGATTCAGTTCCTTGGCTAGGATCGAATCCTGGCAGCCTGTTTCCTTGATGATATGCATCTTGTTCAGTAGCCGTTTCGTTCAGACTCTCGGAGGCTGGGACCTTGCGAAGTCGGATAACTTTCAGAGGATGCAAGCCTATCCCGTCTTTTGAGTAACACTAACTAAACATCCAAGGAAAAGAACCCCCGAGATAGCCTGTGTGTTCTTCCTCCTCTCATGGTACCGATGGTGGGTAATGACCACGCAAAATCTCCAATCCTAGCCTTCCGGTGATACGTTGGGCTTCAAGAAACATCTCAACTTCGAACTGAGGAATGCCCCCAAGGACGATTGAAAGAAATCATTGTCCGTACACCCCGTTCCAGACGAAAGACCCGAAACCAAGACCGCGTCTCCTCAGTCGTTACCAATACCAAAATGTTTCGTTTCGGGTGAGTCAGTCAGTTTTTCCGGTCATTCTGTGACCCAATTGACGACACACCTTCTTCCTTCCCTGGAAATAAAATAAAATATGAGGTAAAATTAAGGGAATAAATCTGGGTCACGTACCGAGTTGAGCCCTAACTACCCACGGTCGGTTCCAAACGCGCCTCCGATGATACGTGTCCTAGACAACGACAATCCCAACGTCCCCAGCCCGGTATAATCTCTCAGATGTTTGGAACTGTGAGGCATATTGAGATCAGAATGGGAAGAATGCATAATGTGCTGGAACGTTCTGGATATTTAAAATTCTGCATAACTTTATGAATATTTTCCCTAGACTGGAATGAGGGATTGAGGGATTTTATATAATCATCTCTGATCTCAAGATCAGATAGATACTGGGATGAGATGTAGGGGTGATGTTGTCGTTGCTTCAAACTGAACAATCTCTGATTCTTATACCTAGGTAATCAAGCTCCCTAACATGATCAATGTATTCACGTGTGTCTCACACGTTTCTCTCTCTCTATCCACGCTGTGTGCACCTTAGGTGCAACGGCACATCCATACCCACGTTTGGCAGAAACACCCGCGGGGATGTTGTTGTTACATCCACACACATTCCATCCATCGCATCTATGAGCTGTTGGATCTATGGAATTTGTTCTACGTATACGGTCCTTCAGAGTTGCTGATGGAGTCCTGCTTTGGAACCAAGACACAACCACCACACACAATCCAACAGATTGATTGATTGGTATAAGGACGGACATTTTGGCGTCTGACACCTGTCTTCATTGGGCAAGGCTGAGGTTTTGCCACCTGCTCAACCATTAAATTAAACTTCTACGGCTCTTTGATCTTGTCAGGTAGGAGGGTAGTTAGTTATCAGGTGACCCTTATGGAATTGTCCTCGTCCTGAAAGTTCCAGTCAAGGATAGGACTGATTACTGGCGAAGGGGGGGTCCTTTTTTGCCAGTTTACCCTAGTTAACAAGATCTAGGCTCTATTTTCATTTGATGTGGAAGCATATTTTCTTCAGCTGCAATTTGCTTTCCCCCAACTCTGACATCACAGACACTGCTGATTAGCACTAGTTGACCAGAGAGAGAGGCGGGACAGGGGGGACACTCTAGAACTCGACTTGTGACAATAGATATCCACACCAAAGTCATAGTTGGAATTCTTCAGGCAAACGCCATGTAACAAGTTAGTTAGTTATAGTTTACGTATTCTATGATCAAGCAATGGCGTAAGTTGCAATGCGCAACGGAGGGGAGAAATCCAGAATTCCGCATTGACGGGACATTCGCTCCTTTTTCCGCGGTAAGGATAATATGGCTTCAAATTATATGCCGAGATAGTAGTAATTGTTGCTGCTACCTAGGTATTAGACCATTTCGTTGCATTATTGGGGGAACCGACACAGAGATTGATCTACCTACCCTGCAAAAAAGAGCATTTCCGAAGAGAATCCGCTCCCTCTGCTTTCCGCCCATCCGCCGCCGGGCTTGTATGTTGACCAACAAACAAAAATGACACCTTTCAATTATCCTTTCCAAACGCCCCTTGCACACAGGCGGGTAAAAGATAAACCCAACGAAAACGACAGAGAGGATGGCAAAACGGCCCAGCCCATTCTCAGAAGGACCTGATTTTCAAGAACTTTGCCGACGCACACTCTCCAATATTTTTATTTATTTTTATTTATTTATTATTTATTTTTATTTATTTTTATTTATTATTATTTATTATTTTTATTTATTATTATTTATTATTATTTATTATTAATAATTTTTAATATTTTCCTTCTCAATTGGGTTTGAGACACAAAATGATATAAAATGATCAGATGATCAGGTCGCAATGGTCGTTGTGACATCACCACTAACCATCGTATGTAACCATTAGTTAAACTAACTATCACAGAAATCTGATAGCTCGCGCTTCATCCTATTCCACGGTCGGTTACATTGGGGAAGCAGAAGTACAGCTGCAAAAACACCACCGAGCGGAACACGTGTTAAAATGAAGGATGTGATTGATGGCCCAACAGTTAAGATTTTATTAATAACAGTGAATGGGAAACTTAGGAAAAATTGTTGAATGGGAGAAATGTTGACAACGTCGCGATGAGTGATTAACTATTAACACATCTATGAGACGTAACCAACATATGGCTAGATTAAAGAGTAATTAATATACCGAGAAACCACCTTCTATCATTATATCGCAACAATGAATAGAAAATATAGTGTATGGAAGGGAAACTTAGTAAGAAAAAAGACTAGGTTTCGAAGGTCTTCGGAGCGCGGTTTAAAATCATGTAGTGTGGCAAAAGCCCCTGAAAGGCTCAAGAAGAAACTTGCTTGACATGCAATACAGCTGCAAGAGGTTCCTTTGTAAAAAGGAGAAACCACCACAATGGAATATGACGTTAGGAAGACAATTGTTGTATAAAGGTAACAGCAATATGCCCGCCAGCCAAATTGGTAGAAGTAGAAACAAAATCACAGTCCCTCCGAAAGTGTCCTCTCATGCATGGGCCTCGCTCTA